CAACTATTGAAATCTTAGTTTTTTTCTTATCAAACACAGATAACAAAAATGAATCAGGGTGTTATAGGTTTAAAATATTAACAATGAATATTTTTATAATATATAGTAGAAAACACTCCCTAATCAAATTTGCAGCATAAAAATAACACATGTTGCAATTACAGCATACCAACGTATTTTCATTTCAATGCAAACTAAGTCTATAACGCATAGGTGGCTGTGAAAAATAAAAGCCATGACAATTTTGTTTTATTAATCACAGCTGACAGAATACGTTAAAATATTTTGGGTAGTTAAGGTTCTCAAAATGGGTAGAGAAAAGGTATTTAGTGAGAAATTCGGTTACACATAATTAAATTTTTTAATTCTGGGAAATCAAACTCTGAATTGGCAACTTTCTTAGACTTATCGCGGTACAGTGTGAGAAATATTGTTAGAAGATATAACGTACTGGTTCAGTTAATATTAAGCCACGATATGTGAAAAAAGTAATACAACAAATGCCGACCGAAGAGCATTAAGAAGAATAATCGTGAAAAACAGGCGTGCCAATTATTTACAATTAAGTGCTCTGTGGAAAGACGCTGTTGGAAGGAGAATATCGAGGTCCACAACTCATAGAGAGGCCCACAAACTGGGATTTATCACTTGCAAGGTAGTTTTTTCTTATAAAGAAAATTGAAGTAAAAACCCTAAAGTTGCACAACTTGTTTATAGGCCAAAGAAAAGCCACTATTAACTCCACTGCAAAAAAAATCGGCTTAGATGGGCTAAAGAACATAGACAATGGACACCTCAACAATGGTGTGCAATAGTGATGAGGCCCGACTCGAAGTTTGTGTTGGTGACAGTCGCAGTAGAGTTATTTGCAAAAAAAATGAAGCATTCCATGTTGACTGTCTGAAGAGAAAAGTGAAATTTCCAGCATCCATTATAGTCTGGGGCAGTATGTCACCAAAAGCAGTAGGAAAACTTCATTTTATTGATGGAAATGTGGATACAAACAAATATTTGACAACTTTAGAAGAATCGCTTTTACCAGTGATGGAAGAATGTTTGACATCCGGCCAAGATTTTGTGTTTCAGCAAGATGGTGCAGCGTGCCATACCTCAAAAAAGGCTATAAGATGGATGGAAGAAAATAATGTACCACTTTTGAAATGGATTTCTAGCAGTCCAGATCTGTCACCTATTGAAACTTTGTGGCACGAGATGAAAAAGGTTCTACGACAACATCCTGCTCGTACAATCACCGAACTGAGACAAAAGCTTCAAGAAATATGGGATTGTTTTACACCAAATTTTTGCCAAAACTTGGTTAACGCTATGCCCCAAAGAATTTCAGCCGTAATAAAAAGTAAAGGTGATGTTACCCAATGTTAATCTTTCAATTGTTGCTTTGTTAACTTCGCGCATTTATTCGCACATTGTTTATTTGTTCAGATGTTATATTAGTTATAGGTATAAGTGATTTCAAATATGTATTTTTTACGAATATAACATACAAGGAGTAACTAAAATGAAAGAAAAATACTATGAATGTAATTATTTTTCATTAGAATCAGTGTTTCTATGTCGTGACAGTTTTTGCAATGTATATAAGTCTTTTTGTTTCACTTTGAATTATTTTGTATTTGGAATGTATTTTATATGGGTAAGTAAAGTATTGTACAGTCTACTTGAAAGGTAAGCATAACATCTCAGATCTAAACATTTTACTGGAAAAGGTGTGCTTTTAATAACGTTGATTTTATGTGGAAAACGACATATTCTGTGTTTAAACTGATATACTACAATATATAGCATAATTGCTATGCTTTCCGTCGTTGTCCGAGAGACCTAAGCCTAGAACAAGCTGAGGAGTAGCAAAAAAGTACGAAACAGCTGTCCATGGTTCACTGTCTTTAATCGGACAGACGAAAGCAGAACATGCTTATTATCCCTATAATTAATGTATTTTAATTTTTTGTCTAGCTCATGCACGTTTTTGTCACTAGCCTGGTCGATTGTGTTTTCTACTTTTTCCCCTTTCCTAATTTCTGTTTTTTACTACTGAACACAACCCTTATTCTGAGGATTGAGACCGATTAAACTGAAGACTTGTCATTCTTATCAAAGGACTGTTGAATTTTTTTAGCTAATGGAATCTTTAAAATATATTTTTCATAGTTTAAATATACTAAGTGACACATAAATCCGAACACCCAGTTTAAATGGTTTTATTTTAATAAAAGTTGGTGAATGTATTTATCTTACTGTAAATAACAAGTGAAAAAATGTTCAGCCTCATCAGTTGGACATTCCGGTTTTTATACTGCTTTTTTTTAATTCACTAACGCTCTAATAATGAATATTTCAGCCGCAGTAAAGAATCAACGTTGGCGGATTTTGGTTCTTGACATCCTTTACGATCGGTTACGATACCTAGAGTACGGAGACCTGTACGATTTCGTCAACTTAGTGAGTTTGATAGGGGCCGTATAGTGGGACTTTCGGAAGCTGGGCTTTCTTTTCGGGCAATTGCAGTTAGAGTGCAAAGAATGTAGACACTGTGGTTAGGTGTTGTCAGGCATGGCTTCGAGAAGGCCGGCAAAGAGCAAGGGGCACTGGATGCCGCCGTAGAACAACAGACCGTGAACATCGCCGCCTAAGATTATGACCTTAAGGACCGTTTTCTCCACTACCAGGTCCATTGCAAATGAATGGTTTGCAGAACACGGAAGACCTATTGGCATGCGAAGTGTTTACCGACGAATGAGAAGTTTTGGCTTGTTTTCATACCGGCCACACTGGGTCCTCCCTTTAACTCGAGAAACCGACGTAATCGCCTTGAGTGGTGCAACAACGGTCACTCTGGGATCAGGAATGGAACAGTATTGTCTTTAGTGACGAGTCTCGATTTTGTTTAGGCATGCACGATGGTCGTGCCAGGGTTAGAAGGCGATGTGGTGAAAGGAGGAATCCACAGTTTTTTGTTGAAAGACATGTTCATCACACTGTTGGAGTTATGGTTTGGGGTACTATAGCTTATGGTTCCAGGTCACCTTTAATCTTCATCAGAGGTAACATGAACGCGCAGCGTTATATCCACGAAGTTCTAGAACCCCATCTTTTACCCTATCTTGACACCCTGGCAGATCCAACTTTCCAACAAGATAATGCCCGACCACATGTTGCAAGAGTCACAATAGACCTCTTTCAACACAATGATGTCACATTGTTACCATGGCCACCAGGATCTCCCGACTTATCCCCAATTGAGCACGTGTGGGATATGTTGGGTAGGAGATTGCTCAATTTGCAACGTCCTCCTCAGACGCAAGAAGCACTTCGAGAGGAGTTGGTGGTTGCCTGGAATGAGATACTACAGGAGGACATTGACCACCTGATCAGAAGCATGCCTATGCGCGTTGGAGAATGCGTAGCACATCAGGTGCATCCACACATTATTAAAGGTCAAAGGGCTTTAAAGCAGTGCAATCATTTTGAATTTTTTTATCATTTACTTATGCTTCATTAATTACTTATACTTACAAAATTTTATTAAATAAAACCATTTAAACTGGGTGTTCGGATTTATATGTCACTTAGTATGTCATCCCCCTGGCCACACATTTTCTCCTGGTCAAAAACGAATCATATATCGTATAGTCCTGTGACATAATGAATATGACAACAAAACAAACTATTTTTCTCAGTTGACACTGAAAAGCCAAATACCACAATGTAGGTATACGTAACCTTGCGCTGAAGGTTGAAGTGTCTAAACATTTATGCAGATATATTCACGTGAAGAATGTGCCGTCGCTATCCTCTGTTACAATCTCAGTCTACTTCCACATATTCTATCTTTTTGCATCTCGGCGTTATTCTTTACGGTGTGAAGCTCTTAAAATAGTCATTCACTGTCTTTCACACAGGAGACCGACGGCGCCACTTATGGCGTGCCGTAACGGATATAATCATGTCAAAGATGCCGGCCCAACGTGCCAACAATAAAAGAAA